AACATAACATGAGTAGCTATATGGAATTAGGGAGAAAACGTAGAACTAACAGTATCATCAGCATACCAAAAACAAGAAAAAAAGTTACAGCCATGCGAGCTAATGAGAAAGTCAGAGAAAAGTAGAAAAAGAAGAGGGACAGGGTGGAATTTAAAGAATGGGCAGAAGAAAAGGAACCTAAGTGACAGCTGAGAAAAGGTAGTTGGAGGTAGAAAATGGAAGCAAGAAAAAGTTTCAGAATAAGGAAATGGTCAGTATTTTCATTTATTTCAGTGGTAAAATGATGAGAACTGTAAAGAATTCTTTGGGTTTTGAAATTTTGTATTGTTGTTGATTGATTTTTTTTTTTCCTTCCAAGATGATGCTAGGAGAGGGTAAACAAAATGCCGGGGCTACAGATGAGGTTTTAATACGTTTTTTAAGAGGTTCAGTGAGGGTTGGTGAGAGGTAGGGGAGCCAGATTTTTCATTGGGATTGCTCTCTGAGTGGGGTGTCCTGTTGAAGTGGTAGAGGTGGAGGCAGTTAATACTTCTTCAAGAAGAAAGAGTTTCAAGAAAACGAAGGAAGTAAAGATACATTAGAGCCCTGGAATAGTGGCTGGGAACTACCACATTTTGTCTCAAGCATGTCAAGTTCAATTACAAGTATCATTCACACCTCTTTTATCAAGTTACGTAGGTCACTTATTGGGAGGTGATTTTTGCCTCTACTAATTGCACATTGGCAAATTCATGCCACTGCAAGTTCACTGTTTATGTTACTCTTCTGAATGTTAGTAACTAAAAAACAATACAAATAATCTGATAGTACTCCGTCCAAAAAAAGACTTCAAGTTTTTGAAAAGTAAGTAAACTCTGATTATGTCCACTGCTTTTGAAGGACTATCAGAAGAGCATTTATCATGGGCAGTTCTTTTTTATTTTATTCTCCATTAGCTGGGTCTCTAGTGTTTAAAAGGAGATTGAGAATGAAAATGAATCTTCTTTTGGCAAGACCGAGGTGCATTCTTTGCCATGATCTTTGTAGAAGTCCATAGTTAAGCATAGGACCCTAAGCATAGTACCCTGTCACTTAGGGTACAGAACAGTGAATTTAGGCAAAAAGTTTGTAAAGAGTTTTGATATCGTGAGACTAATTTTCTTTGTTTTATATTAAGTAAGCTCTATGCCTGACATGGGGCTGAGACTCATGACCCTGAGATCAAGAGTCTCATGCTCTGCTGATTGAGCCATCCACGTGCTGCATAAAGCTAATTTTCAATTAGAAAATCTCTAGGGATCTTTTATATGTCAGTAAGGATACAAGTAGTGAAAGAAATTGTGAATAATATAACATATTTGAACTTTTGGGTATGATGCAGGAGGCTGCATAAACAAAATTACCTATAGTTTTACATGACTTGCTGACTTATAAAAGGAGATAGAGAAGGAAACATCCCTGGACTTGACTCATCAACCTCTCCCTGTTAGTAACTAGACATGCTGGGGTCTAGGGTATCACTTGCATAAAAGAAGGAAACAGTTGGTGCCTACCAATACCAGGGTGTGCATAAGTCTATTATTTAAAATGGGATAAAAATCCTTACTTTGTTTATGTTATGGAATTGTTAGGATGATAAAATGAGGTAATGAGTGTATATGTTTTAGCAATCTGTAAAATATCATACAAAGATGAAACATTTTTATTTAGAGTATTCCTTCACATTTATTTACATGTAAACAAATTAGAATGTGGAAAATAGGAAAGCTATATATTTTGTCCTAATATTGTGTTTCCTAAACTGAATTATTTCAATTAGTTGATACTGTTTCTCTTAAAATTGGAAGTTAGCTTGAAAAGCTATAACTCTTGGGTGCTTATGATGTTCTATATGTATCGTTAAATGAGATGTACACCTGTTCCTTAGTAATTTTTATAGTAGTTGTGTTTTCTAGTAGTTATATAGTAGTAGATAGTACCTCATTTCACTTATGAAAACTCAGGCTCATTTTGACGAAGCTTACACTGTCATTATTCTAACTTGGGTTTTTCCTAAATCTTAATTGTGTGCTTTATAAATTGTGTGTCATAAATATGATTTCTTATTGTCAGTCTATAAAAGATGATCTTACCTTTTCATTGGGTGGCTCTTGCTCTTTTCCATCTTTATTTGCCATTTATCTTTATTTTTTAGCAAATATTTGAGCACCTAATGTGTGCCAGGCATTGTTCCAGGTGCTAAGGATATAGCAGTTAATGAAACAGACGAAAATCTCTGCCCTGATGGAATTTAGGTTCTAGCTTACATGATATTTAAAAACAAATGATTAAAATGTAAAGTGTGTCAAGTGGTGATTGATAGTATGGGGAAAGGTAGGAAGATACATGGTAGCGCAGCGTGTTTTGGTGAAGAAGCTTGTTTGCTTTGTCCATTAGTTTAAACTCAGAATTGGAATCTGAAGGATGAAGAATTACAGTAGGGGTCTTCTTGTGGCAAATGGTATGAGGGATTAAAAACAAAATTACTTCATGTGGTCTCAAGACAGAGGTTGTGAATACTCTACAATTTTTCCAGGAGTACACCAAGTTCTGGGACACCTCTTTATTGTGGAGGCCAGAGAAGGGGAATCTTACTGTAATTTTCCTGTACTACTTCATGTTTTGATAAACTCATTCCCACCGAGTGATTCAGTTTTTTACAGGTGCCAAAACAAATAGTATTTTATAAAGTGTATTTTCCTATCACCTCCTCAAAGGAAATAGGTTGAACTTTGAGTCTGCCAAGTCTTCTCAGTTCCATAGTGTAAATACCGAAGTATATTATTTTTTTGAGTCTAGAGTATTATAGAAAGTTGTCAATGTCTCAGATCATAGCTTTAGAGAAATTTCCCAGGCCCTGTGCTATCCTGTTAGTCACAATTTAAAAAATGGGAAAGGACTAATTAAGCATGAAAACCTTGCCTAAATTACTAGTTCTATAAAAGATAAAGGTTCCTTTACCCAATCCTGACTGTTTTTGGACAAGGCTCAAATTTGTGTCATTGGAAAAGCATCATAATCTGACCGAAAAAGTATACCATTTTCTTGAACAAGTTACACCATCTGTCTAGGTCTCAATTTTCTTATCTGTGTAATAAATAATATGAAGATTAAGTTAAGAGGCACTCACCATCAAATTGTAATACATTGTAATAATATAAAAAATGTAAAATGCTATAGGAGCAGAAATAAGGCAGGCAATTTATTTGGTTCTGGTAGGCTACTAGGAGAAGAGGAGTTACATCATGAATGATGAGTTGGAGTTGATGGAGTACAGAAGCAAAGAAATCACTTCAGGAAGAGGATCCAGTGAGGGCAAATAACATGGGAGTATTTAAGTATATATCCTTAGCAAGTACATTACCTCTTCTAATCTATTTCTCTTTTTTTTATTGAAGTATAATTGACATACAATATCCTACTGGTTTCTGCTGAAATTAGTCTAGGTCCTTGTCCCAACATGTTCCCATTGTTTTCTTTACCCTAAATCAGTACCTATTAACTTGTTCAATGTGCCTTTGTTTTCTGCTACACTATACACTCCTTTGGGGCAAGAATCTAATTTCTCGTGTGTTTATCATGTATTATTCTTTATACACTAGACACTTAATAAGTATTCATTGAATGAATGAAGCAAAACTACGTTAAAAATTTTCAAATAAGTACATTTTGAAGTGTCTTTGAATGCCATACTATACATTTAAATTTAGTCCTATGAAATGTAAATCTGTGATAGTCATTTAAGCAAGGGAATTAATTTAAATAGAAAGCAGCAAAGAGTACTCAAGGGTTCGAGCCTTAGTTATGCCTAGTTAAATGACCTTCTCTTGGAGTTGCCATTTTCTCATCTGCTTAACAGTATTGATTATTTCTGAGTTTCTTTTGAAGTATAATATTCAGGGATTGTGTAATTCCTACTGCCAGGTGTTTATTTAGATGTGAGCCTTTGGGGGGAAAATAGTGCTTGGCACATGGTGTATGCTCAATAAATATATGTTCAATTGAAAGCCCAAAGCATAAATCAGGACTTCTTAATTGGAGAGATTAAATAGACTCTCAGAAACTTTACCTCTCTGAGGTACACGATGAGCATGGAGCTTGGAGCTACTTTTGTTTATTGGTTAAAGCTCTCTGAGTATGTTGTATTGTTTGTTCTGTTGCTGTTTTGGCAACCAAATGGGAACATAGCCATAAAGTATGCAGAACCAGGTTTTTAAATGGTAGATGAGTTTAAGTTTTATTCCAGGAGTCAATAAATAATTGAGTGGCTTTTTATAAGTGACATATTTTTATACTTCTTGCTGGGAATTTTTGGCATGAAACTCTTACTGGTAATGTTCGTGTTGAGTTGAGCTCTTAAGAAACCATGGGATGGGAAGATTGAGTTTTTAATGGATTTCTGATTTCTTGCTATGTAAGGTATTTCCCAGCTTTAGAATTTCTGCTTGCTCTGTCTTGAATTTATTTCTCTTGAGGATGAATATGAAATTTTATTGTTTAAAAACGTCTTATTAATATTTGAAATTTAAGTATCAATAATATTAGAAAAACCTTATTGTCCTATGTGCTTTCAATTTTATTTATGTGTACAGCTTTACAGATTAAAGAGTAGAAAACAGAAGTTTAGTACTTTATAGTGTTCAGAGTCCAAGAATAGAGTTGTAACATATGCCAAAGAAATCACTGTAGGTAGGCAGTTCTCAAGGGATTATGTTTTATTTATTTATTTTAAATCAGAAATATCTTGGCCCTGAATAGCATCAAATTCCTTTACTATCTAGAATAAAAAGCCTAAATTATAAGTAAAGTCTTGGGAAAATATTTTGGAAGTATTATTTTTAAGTTTTCCATATGTATTTTGTAAGAATTAGAGCATAACTGAATATCTGGCAGACATTCTATATGAGTATCTTTATGGTTTTTGTTTTTCAGGCATTTTTAAAATATTTAATCATTCATGAGTTGAGCTTCATTCTTGAGTCATGGATGACAAGGCTTCTGTTGGAAAAATCAGTGTCTCCTCAGACTCAGTATCTACTCTTAATAGTGAAGATTTTGTCTTGGTTTCCAGGCAAGGAGATGAGACACCATCTACAAATAATGGAAGTGATGACGAGAAAACAGGACTCAAGGTAAAACTCCATAACCTAAGATTTTTTTGCTTAGCCTTGCTAAGCTCATTGCACTTGGCCTATAATAGGAAGGTATATGGAGTGAAACTGAAAAAATGGAAATAATATCCTAACTTTCTTAATGCTTAATTTTATTTACAATTAGTGATGGTGACAAATTTATGTTTGATTAAGGAGTTTCAATTTGACTAGCTTCTAAATTTTCTAATACCCCAACTCTCAAAACTAGTGGTCATGATATAAATATTTAAGTATTGTTTTTATTCTCCCATTAAATTAGAGTTTATTTCTAATTATTTCTTTTGGGCCCAGTATATGTAGTGTAAAGACAAGGGCAGGTCAGCAATGCTATTTGTAAAAAAATAAATAAATAAATTTTAGGATTATCGAAACTGAATATTAAATACCTTGGTTATTGGCCACTGCAGTTTGTTATATTTTCTAAGCCAAATAAACGATTACTTTTCACATACTCTGTTGATCATTCTTTTTATGGATATAAATAAAAACATTATTGGTTAATGTCATTTAAAATGTAAATAGCTTTAAAAATATTACCATTCTTGTTTATGTTTATCCATTCAGAAACTATTTATGGAGTATTGATTGTGTGCCAAGTACTAAATACTGGAGATAACAGTGATGAATAAGGCCACAAAGCCCACTGCCCTCACAGAGCTGTTATTCTCAGACTTTAAAACAGACTTTAAGCAGATAAGAAAATGAATATGTTAAGTAAATTTAGGTGCTGTGAAGAAAATCAGAGTGGGATACATGGATAAAGAGTGAAGGGCTGTTACTATTTTAGAGAATGTCTTGAAATGACATTTGAGACAGAGACCTGAATGAAATGAGGAAGAAGACCATGGAGAAAGCTGGGAAAGAGCTTTTTAAAAGGAACAAGAAGATAGAAAGACCCTGAGGAGGACCACTCTTATTAGGACAGAAAGATTAGAGCAGAGTGAATAAAGTAAATAAAAAGTGGTAAAGTATGCTATCCAGTGATTGGCAGAGGCTGGATCATGTAGAACTTTGTAGAGCTTAGAAATTTGAACTTTGTTATAAACATGAAGGGAGGGTGTTGGAGAGTTTTCAATGGGGACATGATCTGATTTACATTTTAAAAAGCTCACTGGCTGAGAGATATTTCCAGCATGGCAGCATAAGGAGCTCTCTGGACCCATTCCTTAGCAAAATTGGCGACAATTATTTAAAAAAAACAACCATTTAAAGTCTTTGGAAATGTTTTAAAGGAAATATAGCAACTGAAGAAACATTTATTCGAGGAAATTTACTAAAATTTGGTAAAGAATCTGTGGTTTTTAACCAAGCCCATTGCTTTCCTCACCTATCCCAGTTGAGGAAGATGGCCACTCCACTCCACATCAGTGCAGTCAAGAAGACAGAATTTCCCCTCTCCCCAGCTCCTCACTGGAGGGCTGTCTTCTGGGAAGAGCAGGATGATTGCATTTCTCATCCTGCCCCCAGCTACATTTTGCTAGCCAAGTGTGACTCAGTGGTGGGGGCTCCCTTTTTTTGCTCAGTCCTGTTCTTGGGATAGAGGCTCTACTTTGGGCACAGTGCTGCTGAGAATATTGAGAGTCCAGCTGCCTTAGCTTTGGCCTCTAAAGTAGTGGTTCCACACCACTATAGGCAAGCAAAAGACCTGAGACTACTATATCAAGTCCTACACCCTCCAAGCACTCAGCTTCTAGAGATGCGGTGTCACTCAAAATAAAACATGTTATTGTCCACCCTCCCAACTTTATAGCTGTGGCTTACAGATTTTCTCTGTAATGAGAAGGGCATCATAAAACAGCTCCTGATCTCTTCCCAGAGAAACTGACTTTATTTATAGCAGAGTGTAGAGAAGTTCAAGCCTAAGGGTAGTCTCATAAACCATAGAGATTGTGGCGAAAGGTAACTGAGAAGAGTTCGGTAGATTGATTGGACATATAGATTTAACTGTAGGCTTACTAGGAGGAAACTGACTCTTAGTGTCAGAACTAATCTCAAACGTTGACCTCCAAAACTCTCCCTTCAAACTAATGTCAAATTGATTAGTTTATTCTGTGCAGTAGTTTGTACTCAGGTGCACTGTTGAAAACTTTAGAGCAACTGGCCATATTAGTGGAGTTTAACATTTAGGTATGGTCAGAGAAAGAGACCAAGCACTCTGACAAAGTTGCTCTCATCCCAGGATGTCTGCAGGTAAAGCCAAATCATCCCAGAGGAACAATGGCAGAGGCTTAACACTATAGGAATTAGGGGAATAGAATTTCCTAAAATAAGCCATCTAGCTGCTAAATAAGCAAGCATAAAAAATAACATGTCCCAGAGTGGGGAGACCAGTACTGTGACTTGGTACAGTATATTATCTAAAATGTCAAGTTTCCAAAACAAAATTGTGAAACATGCAAATAAACAAGAAAAAATAACCTATTCATCATTAAAAAAAAAAAAATCAGGCAGCAGACACTGCTTGTGAGAGTGACATGTTGGATTTAATATGCAAACTCTTCAAAGTAGCCATTAAGTTCAATGAACTAAAGAAATCATGCTTAAAGAAATAAAGTATGATGGTGTCAAATCAAATAGAGAATATCAATATGGAGATAGAAATTATAAAAAAGAATCAAATGGAAATTTTGAAGTGGAAAAGCACAATAACTGAAATGGGAGATTCAGTGAGAGGGGCTCAATAATAAATTTCAACTGGCAAAAAAGAATGAGAGGTGATGTCATCAAAATGTAGTCATTTTCAGGATTTTCAAGGAATTTTCTACCATCGTACCCTCAGAGAACACTGATTTAGACAATTGCTCATGGATGAGAGAGGCTTTGTGGAAGTTGAAGAACCCGTCAGAGAGGTTTCAGTATACTTGGAGAAAAAACATCCAAGATTGGATCCATTGAAGACAATAAAAGAAGCAGTTTCACTTTACCTGTGTCACCCTTCCCCTAAGACCACACACGTCAGTGCCAGTAAAGACTTACTCAGCCCATGATTTCCTCCATATGGGAAAGTGAAAGCAGGTGATTGCATACCTGGATTCCACAGCTGTGTGAGATACTCTCCCAAAAGCTTACTTCTTTCTTCATCCAAAATATCAAATTGTGAACTACACGGCTTGGGGGGTGGATAGTTGGGAGAAGAGCATCTAAAGCTGGGAATGGAACATATCAAAGAGACACATTTTATTAACTGCTTTGGGAGCTCCATGAGGAAGCCCATTCATGAGCCACTGGGGTTGTCTCCCCTACTGGCTCATGGGTACCTCCAAGCTCTCTGCAGCTCACTCAGACACACCCTCACACAGTGACTGCCTTCTTGTGCATGCCCCTGAGGGCAAGAATGGTCAAAATGAGGGGCGCCTGGGTGGCTCAGTCGGTTGAGCGTCCGACTTCGCCTCAGGTCATGATTTCAGTTTGTGAGTTCGAGCCCCGCGTTGGGCTCTGCGCTGACAGCTCAGAGCCTGGAGCCTGCTTCAGATTCTGTGTCTTCCTCTCTCTCTCTGCCCCATCCCCACTCATGCTCTGTCTCTCTCTGTCTTAAAAATAAATAAAACATTTAAAAAAAAATGGTCAAAATGATCCTTTGCAGATGGCTAGTGAGCATGCATAGAGACTGGATTCTGTGGGATAAGGAGAAACCACATGCTTAAGCAGTCATCACCACTTTAGGGAATGCAAATGCAATGGAAATCATCAAGGGCAGACTGAATCAAGCAGATGAAATTACTATGAGGTAGAAGACTATTTGACATTATCTAGTCTGAAAAAAGGAGAAAAATGAAAATGAGTGAGGAAAGCCTACGCAAATTGTGGTATACCATTAAAATAAACAATGTATGCATTATTAGTGTTCCAAAAGAAGAAGAGACAGGAAAGTGGGCAGAAAGCTTATTGAGACATAATGAATGAGACTTTCCCAAATTTGGGGAGAGATTTGGACATCCAAGTTCATGAAGCTTATAGGTTTCCCCAAGATTTTAACCCAAAATGATTCTTTCCAAGACACATTATAATAAAACTGTCTAAAATAAAAGACAGATTTTGGGGCTCCTGGGTGGCTCAGTTGGTTAAGCATCTGACTGGATTTTAGCTTAGGTCATTATCTTACAGTTTGTGAGCCCCATGTCAGGCTCCACACTGACAGTATGGAGCTAGCTTGGGATTCTGTCTCTCTGCCCCTCCCCTCTTTCTCTCTCTCTCTCAAAATAAATCATAAGACAAAGGTATTAAAAATAACTATAGTTAATGAAATTAATAATATATGAAATGAATGATATAATAACAAATATACAATATGAAAAGTTAATATGTACATCAAAACTAAAATGTTGAGAGTGGTGTGTTTGTATATGATTAAAGTTTTATGAAAGTCAGATATACTGTTGTATTAGTAAGATGTTTTATGTAAGCATTATGGTAACCACAAAGCAAAAATCTATGATAGTTACATAAGAGATAAAAAGAAGAGAATCAGGGTATACCGCCTTGAAAAATAACAGTTCATCGGGGCGCCTGGGTGGCGCAGTCGGTTAAGCGTCCGACTTCAGCCAGGTCCGCGATCATGGAGTCCGTGAGTTGAGCCCGCGCGGGGCTCTAGGCTTAACAACCTGGAGCTATTTCTGATTCTGTGTCTCCTCTCTCTCTGCCCTCCCCGCTCTGTCTCTGTCCCAAAAATAAATAAACGTTGAAAAAAAATTTAAAACAAAAAAAAAAAAAAAAAGAAAAATAACAGTTCATGAAGGAAGACAGTGAGAAAGGAACAAGGGAACTACAAAACAACCAGAAAACAATAACATAGCATTGTAAGTTCATACCTATCAATAATTACTTTAAATGCAAATGAACCAAACTGCAAATGATGTAGTGTTGAATGGATAAAAAAATAAGACCTTCCCACTGTATTCTGCCTGTTAGAGACTCATTTCAGCCTTAAGGACACACACAAACTCCATGTGAAGAATTGGAAAAGCTATTCCATGAAATGG